CCTCTGCCTCCCAGGTTCAAGTGATTTTTGTGCCTCAGCCTCCCATGTAGCTGGGACTACAGGTGCAAGCCACCAATGTCTGGTTAATTTTTGTATTTTTAGTAGAGGTGGGATTTCACCGTATTTACCAGGTTGGTCTTGATCTCCTGATCTCAAATAATCCACCTGCCTTGGCTTCCCAAAGTGCTGGGATTACAGGCATGAGCCACTGTGTCCGGATTTGGGGGTGGGAAACCCCAACCTCCCTCTGTGCTCTTTGACAATAAGCTGATCTGTGATTTTTGAGCATGTCTTCTCTCATTAGTCCAACGTGCCCACAATTATTTCCAGGAACCCTCATTCCTTTTGCAAACCACAGCCCCCCATGCACAAACTGCTGGTAAACACCTGAGCAGCTATGCTACTTCAGATTTTTGTATTTCTGCATATGCAGCTTCCTGTACCACTGCTTAAAGCCAAGCTGTCATTCAGCTGTCACCTCTTTGGTAAAGCCTCTTTACATTTTCCAGTCATATTTTATTACTTTGTCTTTTGTGTGGACCTTTCAATATTACACTTACCATTCTACTGAAAAATACTTCTTTACCTTTCTCTTATCTACAGGCTGTGAATTCTTTGAGGGATAGTCCATGACTCTTCTTCCTCTTCTTCCTTCTTCTTTTTTTATGATCATCTTCTATATAATAGAACTTGGTGTATTACAATTCCAATTAGTGTTTGTAGAAGTGATTTGAACCCATGGTCCTCTCATCCTTTTCCCTACCATCTTGATCAATGATCTATAACATTAAAAAAAATCTTGTCAAGAGAATTAATTAGACACTGCAAAGGGCATAACTGAAACAGAAAATATACCCCAAACCTAGAAAAGCAAATCAAAACCATGTGGACCAAGCAAATAAATGTGATACCTTCTTATTCCTGCAAGAATGGCCATAATCAAAACATAAAAAAAGATGTTGCTGTGGATGTGTTGATCAGGGAACACTTATACACTGCTGGTGGGAATGTAAACTAGTACAGCCACTATGAAAAACAGTGTGGAGATTCCTTAAACAGCTAAATGTAGAACTACCATTTGACCCAGCAATCCTACTACTGGGTACACAGAGATAAAGACATCATTATATGAAACAGATACTTGTACATGCATGTTTACAGCAGCATAATTTGTAATTGCAAAATCATGGAACCAACCCAAATGCCCATCAACAACAAGTAGATAAAGAAACTGTGGTATATATATGTGATGGAATACTTCTCAGCTATAAAAAGTATTGAATTAATGGCATTTGCAGTGACCTGGATGAGATTGGAGACTATTATTTTAAGTGAAATAAACTCAGGAATGGAAAACCAAACATCATGTGTTCTCACTGATATGTGGAAGCTATGCTATGAGGATGCAAGGGCATAAGAATAATACAACGAACTCTGGGGACTTTGGGGGAAGGATGGGAGAGGGACAAGGGATAAAAATCTACAAATACAGTGCAGTGTATACTGCTCAGGTGATGGGTGCACCAAAATCTCACAAATCACCACTAAAGAACTTAAACATGTAACCAGATACCACCTGTACCCCAATAACCTCTGGAAAAAAAAAGAAATCATAAGCTAAACTTGTGGCAGCCTGACAAACTTGCCTAAACCAGTTCACACAAAAGCTTGAGTTTTCAAGTCCACATGGAAATACCCTGGGCTTGTCAGGCACACAGTTGTAAATGAGAAACATCACCCAGTCCCTACCCCAAATCCTTGCAAGTTATACACCAAATTCTTTCATTTATACTCTAAAAGAAATTCTAATCCACTTACTGGCAAAAAGAGATGACTAGACAACTTTTCTATTTCAACCTGAATTCAGATAAGAGGAACAGGGAAATCTTTCCTAGGAATTCATAGGCCTATACCTCATCTTGGTTGTGGGGGTTTTAATTTATATTACCCATGTAGCTCAAAAAATACAAAGATGTTAAGTTAAAGAAAGAATTGGTCCTTGAAGGACCTGCATATCATAATGCTGCCTTCCTCGAAGAGTACCCTGGGTATAGTGACCACATGTCTTTGGAGTAGCCTGATTTTTATGCTATTCTGTTCTTTTAAATAAAGGCAATCTGTCAGATATTTGAAAAAAAAACATACTCCCAACCTATAAGAAGTCTTATAAATATTTACTGAGCAGAGTGATAGGCATTTAGAAGTAAGCATAGTAAGCGTATTGATGCTAACCTTTAGATAGATCAATAGGTAGATTCAGGATAGAGTGAAGACCAAGGGGGTCACATTTTTTGGTGACTCTTTTTTTTTTTTTAATTAATTGCTATATTTGCTAACTCCCAAAATATGCTTGTTTTTCTTTTCTCAACCTGCCCAAGTGCATGTATTCAGAAAATATACATCAATTGTGTATGTTTGCATATGTTTTGTATGTGTATATAAGAGAGGACAATAAAGATGATTTTCATTAAAAATAATTAAAATATATTTTCATGAACATTAGAATTTCATTGCCTCAAGCACTGAAGTATAAAAATAGTTCGACAAAGCTTATTTATTCATGAGGGACCTCTTCCCCTAGGATCCATTTATTGCCTCCTCCTATGTTGCTTTGGGAAAATCAGTCTTATTCTATGAGACCATTCCCAGCACAGGTTGAAGTTATATTGCCTTTCCATGTTCTATTTGGTACCACTTTTTACTGCTTCTGTGTTGAGAATAAGTTATTCCTTTTCTACTCTGGGGGAATTTCCAATAGCTCCTTGTGCCAGGTATCATTTTTCTGAAGATACTGTTATTTCAGATCTTCTAGAGAACAGGTGAGTGAGAAGGATGGAAAGAACACATTCAATCAGCTTGTATTTTGCCAACTAAGAGATTTTATGGTAATTAAATCACAGTTTGAAATTACCTCTGGACATAGGAAAAGAAGATATCTAGAGGACAAAGAGTTGAGAGCAGTAGTTGAGTTCAGTCAATGGATAGGGTTTGGTAAATACTCTGCAGGGAACCTATCTTGTTCTTTAAACATGGACAGAGAGGGTTTCAGGTAGGTAAGGATAAGAATCATGATATAGGAGAATCAGGCATGAGTCAAGAGGCACATAGGAGTGTGAATAACCTAATGTTTATGGTTGGCACTAAATATCCACTCCTGAGTTCTTAATGGCATTTGGTCTTGGTTGTAGATGACAACGTCTATGTGGACCATGCAAATAAAAGAATGCAATTCAGTCTGTTTGACAAAGAAGGAGTTGCATATTTTTCCCTCAGACACTGACCATTTAACCAGTTAAATGACTCAGGAGAACAAATTTGAAGTGATTACTAAAAGCAAATACTTCCTCTAATTTTCCCTGTGTCCTGGATCCACTCTTTCTGAAATATTCAAAGAACCTCGATATTTGGGTTAGGTTGATTTTCGTTTGTATGCACATTTTTTCATTCAATAAAAAACACTTCTTCAGCTTCTATTATTTTTCTAATACTGTGCTGGGTACTGGGGACAGAGAAAAAGACAGTATCTTTCCTCTCTGAGCTTACAGCCTGGTGTGGGAGATAGAAACAGAAAATTAGCAGTTAGAGCAGGGAACACATGAGAGGTGAAAAGGTGAATAAGGGAGGAATGTTCTTCAGGAAAATGTCCCATTAGAAAAGAAGAGGAAAAAATGGTGGGGCGGGGGGTGGCGGGGGTGGGAAACTTTGGTTTTAAATTAAGGGTCTGCCATTTTCCATTCATCAAGGGTTCTGTCAAGTATTTTCTGAGATGAAAAACTCAGGTCTTTGTGGGACTAGCTTTTCCCTCTAAAGGCTTTTGCTGGGTATGTGACCAGGGCTCTTTGGAATGTTAAGACATAAATATAAGCCAGTTTTTCACTCCTTGTCTGTATTTTCCTATTTGAAATCTCCAGTCCCACAACTTGAAGGAAGTTTCTATGACCATTATTATTATTATTTTTTTCTCCTTCTCTTCTACTTTATTTATTTATTTGAGACAGAGTCTCACTCTGTTACCCAAGAGTGCAGTGGCATGATCTTGGCTCACTGCAGCCTCTCCCTCCCGGGTTCAAGCGATTCTTGTGCCTTAGCCTCCTGAGTAGCTGGGATTACAGGCCTACATCACCATGCCCAGCTAATTTTTGTATTTTTAGTAGAGACAGTGTTTCATCACGTGTCCCAGGTTGGTCTCGAACTCATAAGCTTAAGTGATCCACTGGCCTCGGCTTCCCAAAGTGTTAGGGTTACAGGTGTGAGCTGCTGCGCTTGGCCTACGTGATCCTTTTCATTACTTGACTTTTCCCAATTACTCTCTCCTTCTCTCCATTTTTCTGGGTTTGGTAATTCTCATTGTTTTTTCTTTTTCTTCCCACCCCTCAGCATATTTTAATTTCTTTTCTTTATATCTTTCCTTTATCTTCGTCTTCTAAATTATCTTTATTTAAACAATTCACTCAAAATTGTAAAGGAATTAATTCAAATTAATTTAGCAAATACTAAATTCCTAGAACTGATAATTCTGCCCTCTGAAACTATTTTACAGTCCGATAATGAAGACAGAGATAAATAATACATGAATCTTTTCTTTTAGTGCTTGGAAACAGATAAAGGAAGTAAATCATGCACATGTAACTCTATACTACAGGTCAAAAGGTCCTATGATAATTACAAAGTGCGATGGGAAAGGAGGGTTTTATGGGTTCCACTTTATTCTTGCTCTCCCAAATTTTAAATTCATCTTTTTTTCCCCCTGTTTTTATGTCCTGTGGACTTTAAGTTATAGCATCACATGCAAAGACAATGGACTCACGGATTGCTGAACCAGCTTCCATGATTATGCAAAGTCAACTTCCTGTAACAATTTCCTAGCATATTATTCCCAGTGGTCCTGTCTCTCTAATGGAACCCTGAATGATACAGTTAGTAATTCCACTTTCTCATTTCTCCTGCTTTTTTTTTTTTTTTTCCCCCAGGCAAATTTGCAGCCCAAAGTGACTGAGATCATGGAGGGAGGAAATTATTCGGTGGTGTCTGAGATTGTTTTGGTGGGACTCACCAGTTCTTTGGAGATGCAAATTGTCCTCTTTCTGGTTTTCTCTATGTTCTATGTAGCAGGTATTTTGGGAAACCTCCTCATTGTGCTCACAGTGATCTCCGACTCCCATTTACACTCCCCTATGTACTTCCTGCTGGCCAATCTCTCCTTTATTGACATGTGGATTTCCTCCATTACAGTGCCCAAGATGATTTCTGATCTTTTCAAGGAGAGAAAAGTAATCTCTTTCCAAGGCTGCATTGCTCAGATGTTCTTCATTCATGTTATTGGAGGAACTGAGATGGTTCTGCTTGTTTTCATGGCCCTTGACCGATATGTTGCTATATGTAAGCCTCTCCACTACCTGACTATCATGAACTTCAGAACTTGTACTCTACTCCTAGTGGCTTCCTGGACTATTGGAATCATCCATTCATTCATTCAACTTGTATTTGTTGTTATCCTACCATTCTGTGGTCCCAATGAAGTGGACAGCTTTTACTGTGATTTTCCTCGATTTATTAGGCTGGCTTGCATGATCATCGACAGACTGGAGCTCATAGTCACTGCCAACAGTGGATTCATCTCTCTGGGGACTTTTTGCATTTTGATTATCTCCTATATCTTCATCTTGATCACTGTTCGGCAACATTCTTCAAGTGGCTTATCCAAGGCTGTCTCTACACTGTCAGCTCACATTACAGTGGTGGTCTTATTTTTTGGTCCATGCATCTTTGTGTATTCATGGCCATTTCTCACAGTGCCTGTGGATAAATTCCTTGCCATTTTTGATGTAATAATTACCCCATTTCTGAACCCTACCATCTATACTTTTAGGAATAAAGAAATGAAGATGGCAATGAGGAGAATATTCAACCAGGTGCTCAGTTTCTGGAAGTTGTTTTAAGTGATTTCGATATAAAGAAAGACAAGCATTTCTAAAATTCCTGGACCATGCTACAGACATGAATCTAATGAAACATAGATGCTTTGGTTACTAATTTATTTACCGATATGCAGGATTTTCTTAATGTGTTATTTTGCTCATATGAAGGAGGATATTATATTCTTTCTTATGAAATGTGTTTGAATAAGAAGTGTTAATATAGACCTGTTTCTACATTTTCCCCACCCCTCCTTGATAAGGAGAATTCTGGACTGACCTATTACAACTTACTCTGCATTCTGAGGAGAATCTTTCCTTGTCAGATTGATTTTTGGGGTTTCATGATGCAGAATCTGAAGAAAAGTGCTTTGGAAATATGAGACAGATTTGCAATGATCAGAAATAGGTGTTTTGTTTTGTTTTGTTTTTGTCAGGGTCTCACTCTGTAGCCAAGGCTGGGGTACATTGGTGCAACCTGGGCTCACTGCAGCCTTGACCTTCCAAACTCAAGCAATCTTCCTACCTCAGCCCTCCTGAGTAGCTGGGACTGCTGCATTCACCACCATGCTTGGCTGATTTTGTTTATTTATTTTTTTGGTAGAGATGAGGTCTCACTATGTTGCCCAGGCTGGGGATAGTATTTTTGACTCTGAGGCAATATGTGGAAGTAGCTATAAAATGTGAAGAAAACATGAAAGATAAAAACAGGGTTTTTTTTGAGATAGGGTCTCACTTTGTTACCCAGGCTGGAGTACAGTAGCATGATCTTGGCTCATTGCAGCCTTGACTTCCTGTTTTCAAGTGATCCTGCTGCCTCAGCACCCCCAAGTAGCTGGGATTATATGCATACGTCACCAGGCATGGCTAATTTTTGTATTTTTGGTAGAAACGGGTTTTGTGATGTTGCCTAAGCTTGTCTCAAACTCCTGAGCTCAAATGATCCACCTGCCTCAGCCTCCCAAAGTGCTGGGATTACAGGCATGAGCCACAAAAAGAAGATTTAAAAAATATTATTGTCTCTATATTACCCTTTAATGTATATTGTCCTTCAATAAACAAAACAAAAGTAAAGAGCTAAGATTATTTTGAATTTTTTTTTTTTTAATCACAACATCAGCCTAAAATTGGATTACTAAGTTATGGCTTCTTAAGCATTTCAGCTAGTGCATATGGTAACTGAATTAAGCCTTAAAATCACTCTAGTTCTGCACATGTACCCTAGAATATAAAGTATAAAAAAGAATTACTCTAGTTCTTTCAAAAGCTGTGTTTCTGTACTGTCAGAGGATGTGAACAATTGAGGCCTAGTAAGGGGGAAGAACAATGACCTATTTAGTACTTCTGTTCCAGCTCGTGCTTGACCTCATTACACTGGAATCAGCAATAATTCCTCAGAGGTAGGTAAACGCTCTTCTTTTTCAGTAAGATAATTACAAGGACAGACTCCAGCCAGACTGCCTGCCTTCAAATTTCAGCTATGACTTTTACGAATTCAAGTTGCTTAACCTTTTTATGTTTAACTTTCATCATCTATTAAAATAGAGGTAGTTTGAACTGTTTGAAATTCCTCATATTTGACTGTTTTTAACTTACAAAATTGACATTTCCTTATAGCTAAAAGTATCTTTCTCATAAGGTTTTAAAAATTAACCCAATTAATATCTATAAAGTACTTTAAATAATTCTTTGTCTATAGTGTTATATAAGTGCCTGTTCAATAAAATGAAATAAAACATTGAAACAGCTTCTTCATCACTTTTGATGACCTTCTCTCATACTATGTACAAATTGTTTCTTTTCTTTCTAACTCTATTCATTAATCTTTGATTAAGAGCTTGTTTTTTTTTTCCTAACAGGACTGGAATACATATTCTTCAACTAGTTTAAATGAGAGAATTCCTTGAATATACAGACTTCTAAATGCTACACTTCAATTTACTTTTGATAGTTTCTTTTTCTTATATTCAAACTGCCTTCTTTTTATTTATTTTTTTTGAGACGGAGTCTTGCTCTGATGCCCAGGCTGGAGTGCAGTGGCATGATCTCGGCTCACTGCAAGCTCCGCCTCCCGGGTTCACACCATTCTCCTGCCTCAGCCTTCCAAGTAGCTGGGACTATAGGCACCCACCACCATGCCCAGCTAATTTTTTGTATTTTTAGTAGAGACAGGGTTTCACTGTGTTAGCCAGGATGGTCTCGATCTCCTGACTGTGTGATCCATCCACCTCGGCCTCCCAAAGTGCTGGGATTACAGGCGTGAACCACCACGGTGGGCCCAAACTGCCTTCTTATGTGCTATGTCATATTTCTACATAGCTAGTTTTGGTTATCTATAGTGCTTTTTAGTGTGCTGGAGAAAGTTACCAAGCTGACTAGCTTACAAAAAATTGTATAAATAGAAATTTGGTTGATCAAAAAGTATATTGTCAGCAATCTAAGGGTGAATAAAAAGTAAAACAATTGAATATTCACTATATTCTAATTCCTATGGTAGGAACTATTGAAATTGTGTGTTATACAATCCAACTGTAGAAAATTGTACAACCCAAATTTCTCTGAAGTGAAAAATTAATGAAAGTAATTCAAGGGTATGGTATGGTGGGCAGATTCAATGAAAGGGTTTGAGTAGAGGGGATTCATGAATTTGTGAATGCTATGGATGGGGTTGAGGCCCATGCTGAACAATCCTCTGAGTTTAGTACATGTCTTGGCAAGGAGAGAAGCTCACAAAAAGCTCTGGAGGCTAAGAGCAGGTTGGTAACACAGCACTATCAGGGAGGTTAGATGCCTACTGTACTTCATTGCCTAACCAGGGTCTACAAAGCCTGATAAGATCTGACCCTGCCAGTCTCACCCACTGCTTGTTCATGCCACTCTCTTCTCTGCTTGGGGCTCTCAGGCATTTTGTACTTTCCCTTCACTTGAATATAATATGTTTGTGGCCTCCTGAGACCTGTACAGTTTGCAGAATGCTTTGCCCAGGTGTAGGCAAGCCTGGCTCCCTCTACTCATTCAGGTTTCAGCTTGAGTGTCAATTCCAAGAAAAGACTTCCCATTTAAGAAGTTCCCTCTTGGAGGATGACATCAGCAAGATGGCTGACTAGAAGCCCCTAGTGCTTATTCTTTCCACAAAGGCAGCAAAAACAATGAATAAACAACTACATTTGAATAAAAATAACTAAAGGGAAGCGCCAGAAGACATCAAAGGAGTAACAGAAACACTGGGGAGCACAGAAACTCAGAACAGCCACATACAGAACAGAAGCAAACATTGGGACTCCACCACCAAATTCCTCAGCAGGGATCAGATAGGAAGGAGGAGGAACATCTCCCTGTGGTGAAAAAGTAGGCAAGAGGATTCCAGCAACCCCCAGCATTACCTTAGATATATACAGTCCTCACCACTGGGTCTCCTTGGTCCTCACAGCCACTAAGCCTGGCTGAGAGAACTGACTGGAGTCCACACAGCTGTGTTCCCTCCAAGAAGGAGCTGGACAATGTGCCTTACACCCTGTGGCCTGTGTGGTTACTACGCTATGCCATCTTGGGACTGCAAGTACTGCTGGAGTGTGTCTTGCTCTGAGGGTGAGGAGCCACAGCACCCTTTCATTTTTGAGGCTAAACTGCCTTAAACCACTTATGCCCGGTGGCCCAGCATCCCCAAGCTGAGCTGGGAGCAAATGCTATGCTTCTTCCCTGTGGGGCCAAGCTGCAGTGAAGAAGCTCCACCTACCTCTCTCTCTCAATACCCTCAGGCTGGAGCTGGAAGTGGCGCACTCCTTCCTGGGAAACTGTGCTTTGGCAGAATGGCTCCATTTACATCTCAGCCAAGGCTGCACCCTGCCCCTAGTGGTCTGAGCTGAAACTGTGCATTGCCTCCCAAGGAAACAATCCCTGGGCAGGCAGAACCCTGCATCCCTGGAAAATGGAGTCTGGACCACCCAGAACAGTCACGCCCCTTGGGCCTGAGCGGAAGCAGCATGTCTCCGTTTGGATTATTGGTGCTTTGGTTGAACTGAGCAGCTGCACATTCCAGGACTGAGGTGACATAGTGGTACCTTGCATGCCAGGGAAACAGAGCAGTGGCTGATCTGAAACACCCCACCCTACAGGCTAGAACCTACAACTCTAGAACCCTGGTTCCCTGGACCTGGACTAGCTCCCTGTAGTCTGAGCTGCTGAGACATTCCTCTCCCCGGAGAGTGGAGTCGTTGCTGTGCTACTCCTTGTCCCGAGGGCCCAAACAAAAGCTGCGCTCAGCCATTCTGGAGAATTCACATCTGCAGCACCTGGGTTCATAGAGTCTGGGATTCTCCAGGGTCTAGAGTCACCATTACATGATGCCTCACCCCCCCAGTGACCTGAATTGCCACTGAACCCATTGGTTCAGGTTCCCAATTATGGCCATACCTGCATCCCAGGCCCCAAACTCCAGATTCCCTCTTCTTCCCGCGAGTCAGGCCAATGCTGCCCTCTGCCTCACAGGGGTGGAGTCATAGCTACAACGTGGCCTCAGCTGCTAGGGAGTGCCTCAGAGTCACAGATTCTGGCTCTATGGGCCACCTACATCCAACCTTGTCACAAAGAGCACACCTTCACCTCAAGACCCAGGTGCCACAATAGGTTCATTAGACCCTGAGCCTTGAAGCCTGGCCCCAAAGACCAGCTGCTGCTCCAAAGATCTGCACCTGTAATCCAGCAACGCTGTAGCTCCTTCTAGGCTGTGTTAGACCAGATACCTAGAGAATTCCCATGGCTAAATCTCAGTAGTGTGGGGAAACCAAGAAGAGAAGGCTCCAAAAACCCTTGCCATAGAGGAAATAAATAACCTATATTGCCACTAGACTACCACAAACTTCTACAGCCTAGGCTACTGAGATGCATACAGTTATTGCTGACATTGAATGCAGCCAAAGAAGCTGCATGGAGATTATATCACTGCCCCCACCTGGAAACGGAATTACCACACCCTTCCTAACAGTATACTGAGATCCAACTGCGGGTTAAATTCTTTTCTTATA